AAAATAAACAACAACATCAAAAACAAAGATAATAAATTCAACAACAACAGCATAAACGATATGAACAACAACAACAGTAGCATAGACAATGAAATAAACAACAATGAAATAAACAACAACAAAAACATCATATATAGTACTAGCAACAACATCATCAACAAATTCAACAACAACAACAATTCTAGTCTTGTAATCAAAAAATATTTCACAACAATGTCTACAGCATCAACAACACCAGCAACATATCTTGCAGTTAACCCGCTCGAAACATACAGCAACAACAACAACGACAACAACAACAACAGCATCAAAAACAACAATCGTATCAGCAGCAAATTGAGAAAATTCTCCAACTACGACAACAGTATCAAAAAACTTCTCAACAGCAACAGAAACAAAAACAAACCACAGCTCGACCACCACTACCACAACTATCATCATCAGCACCGACGACGATCGGCCACACTTTTTGCGCCAAATCCATCGGAGAGAATTCGCCGAAAGACGGCACGAACTCGCGAGAGGCGGGCCACATTGGTCTTGGGAGTTGTCATGGCCACGTTCATCCTCTGCTGGCTGCCATTCTTCTTCTTCTACCCCCTATCAAAACTGACGGGTCTCGACATTCCGGGGACTCTCTTCACCCTTTTTTTCTGGTTGGGGTACGTAAACTCGGCCTTGAACCCAGTCATTTACACACTCTTCAATAGAGACTTCAGAGCTGCGTTTGGTTGTCTTCTGAAAAGATGTTGCTGGTGCCACCTCTGGGTGAGAGGATGACGAGTTTGGAAAGGAGAGGGTGCTGGTGAAGATACAGAGGAGAGGAAAGATGAGAAGCTGCTCTTGAAGGTATGGTTCGCCAGCCGGGTCACGGTGCGGGCCTGACCCCGAAGAACTCAACTTTGACCCCGAAGAACTTAACTTTGACCCTGAAGAACTCGACTTTGACGTGAATTAGCTAGAGCCATTTTTGGCACAATGGCAATAATGATCAGAACAACATCATTACTATTATTATTATAATTATTGATTGTTATTATAATCGATTAATAATAATGTTAATAATAATATTGCAAATAATATATTTATTAATGATATAACTGTGGTCCTAATATACGAGCATCGCCGTACAAACACATCATTTTCATAGAGCCAGGCTTGTTTGAATTATTTATATAAGCAATATTCAATTTGCTGGTTCATTACGTATATAATTAAATATAATTAAGAGAGAGAGAGAGAGAAAGAGAGAGAGAGAGAGAGAGAGAGAGAGAGAGAGAGAAAGAAAAGCTTATTCTTTCCATTTTATTCTTTTAATTTTTATTTGTGTTTAAAAAAATTTTTAATCAGCGTTTAAAAAATCATATCGTCATGCGAGACAAGAGTGTTACAAAAGAGTTCATTGTTAAATTGTTTGTAAAAGTAGTAGCAGTAGATGTAGTAGTAGTAGTAGCAGCAGTAGATGTAGCAGTAGTAGTAGTAGCAGCAGCTGTAGTAGTAGTAATGATAAAAGATGCTCAAAGATAAAATAATTTTCAACAATGGATGTCACTATGAAATAAATTTTGACAGACTAACAACGAGTTTGTATTGGGACAAATTTTAAAAATTATTCAACTATATGAATACTACCATCATAACTTTTACTTCAACTGCTACTACTACTACTACTGCTGCTACTTCTACTACAACTGCTGCTACTACCACAACTACTATTGTGGCATGTAGTTTTAATTTGATAGGCATAATAAACAGTGAACTTTATAGTTGGCTTGGGGAGAAACATTCCTCTCGTTAGAACAACATACCAAAAAAGATGCAAACATACAAAAAGAAACAAATATACAAACAAAGTATACAAACGAAAATAAAGATACAAAGATTGTATCTAAAGGGATGTTTTGGCAAGCAAAAAAACTTTAAAAAAAATACAAACAAAAGGTAGTAGCAGTAGTAATACTGCATTAGTCTTAATAATAATAAAAATAATTAAAAAAATAATATTTAAAAAAATAATAATACTGTTATTATTACTATTGTTATTTTGAAATTTTCTCCGAGTGAGTCGAAGAATAAAATCTATCTACTTATCTTTGCCGCTAAAAATCAATGGTTTCATTTGTGTATGCATGTTTGTTTGTTTGTTTGTATGTATGTTTGTTTGTTTGTATGTTTGTTTGTAAGTATGTTTGTTTTGTATGCTTGTTTTGTTTGTATGTATGTATGTATGTTTGTATGTTGTATGTATGTATGTATGTATGTATGTATGTATGTATGTATGTATGTATGTATGTATGTATGTATGTATGTATGTATATAACAATTTTCATTCGCATCTTGCTTCGCTCCGTATAAGAACCAACACATACGCGAATAGATCCATCCTTCCATTCGTACATTGGTTCGTTCGATCGTTCACTGGGTCGTTCGTTCGTTCATTTGTTCGTTTGTTCGTTCATTCATTTGTTCCTTTATTTGTAAATATATTGGCAGTTTATTTAGTTGTTAAAATTTATAAAAATAAAATAATTTTTTTTTTCTACAGAAAAACTTATCAATTTTGTTGCAATTTTAATTTAAAATTAAACAAAAAATTCAATTGCGACTAATTAACATATAAACAAATCAAAAATATTTATTTCAAACATACAACTGTACAAACATAAAATCAATCAAACATACAACCGTACAAACATACAACTATACAAACAAACATACAATTATACAAACAAACAAACAAACGAACGAACATTCAACATGGCGGACAAAGCAAAAGTGAGATTTGATTTGATGATGATTTTATATAAACAAATACACAGACATACATTTACAGACATACATACAGACACACACATACACACACACATACACACACACACATACACACACACATTCATACACACATATAAACAGCATCAGCAAAACCATTAAACAAGCGTTGAATAATTAAATATGTGTAGTAGTAGTAGTTGTTGTTGTAGTAGCAGCAGCA